CCCCCACGCTCTGAAAAAGCAGTGGAGAAAATATCCTTGGGCGATGATAAAAAGTTAAAAAAAAAAAGACGCTGGCCAGAATCCCCTTGGCCCGGCCCTGGACCGATGGAGCTCTGTCTGAACTTGATGCAGCAAGTAGCTCAGTTTGTCAGCACCTGGCTCTCAGGGAGGTGTCCCCCGTTCCCCACACGCTTCATCAGGAGTGCGTCGCGGCACCGACGTGCGGGAAACAGCACAGGCGTTGCATCTTACTGTGGACACGGGGTCTCCCTGCCTCAACGTTTATTTTTTAAGCTTTTTCCTCTTCAGAGCCTTCCACTCGCCCTCCTGCTCCGCCAGGCTGCTGAACAGCTGCTTCACTCGGCGCTTCCTCTCCCGGTCCCTGAAACGAGAATGGGCCGTTTCTGGGTTAGTTTTTGGAGGACGTGTGTGCGGAGGGAGGACAAGCGGGGTGTGACCTGCAGGGCTCCCAGCCCCCACCAGTGGCCTCACCGTTCCATGATCTCCGAGAGCTGCACGCGGGCCAGGAACTGGCTGTCCTTGCGGATCTCCCGCACGGCGCCCTTAAACTCGCGCCTGTGCTTGTGGACCAGCTGCCTTCGCGCCTGCTCCTCTTTGCTGCTGCCCTGCTTCCTGCCGAACTCCAGCCTGAAAGCAGACGCCAGCGCCCAGAAGGCCGGTCGAGTTGGCCCCGTCTCCGCTGGAGCCAGCCCCCCATGACTGCAGGTAGGGCCACACCCTGACCCTGGGCTCCCGGGAGCTGGGGTGCTGTGTTGGGGGGCTGCACCCACATCCTGACCCCGGGCCCTCTGTGTGAAGACCCTGCAGAGGTGGCTGTACTCACACTTTGACCAGCCGGGGGGTGAACAGCTTCAGTGGCACCGGCTTGCTCTTCTCGCAGATCAGGGGCTGGTAGTGCTTCTCCTGGGCCTCCATGTCGGTCAGGGTGCTCCGACACAGCTCCTGGGACGGGAAAGCGCTGTGATGGCCCACGGTGGCCTCGGCTCCTCCAGTAGGCTCTGCTGGGCAGGGCCAGGGGGCGACTTCCTTCCTTCCTGCACAGCCCTCCATGGGGTGGGGGAACAGGGTGGCCAGCCCATGGAGACCCGTTGAAGGGCGTCTGATTTGGGCTCTTAGCAGTAAGAGCAGCCTGTGCTCCCAGCACCGAGCCAATGGGATGGGTGTCCTTTCTCAGAGAAACCTGGTGGCACCTGCTGTGGACATGCTGGAGTCGGGCAGTGGCAAGGCCACCGAGCAGGACCCGGTCTTTGTGATGCTGGTTCCTTTCTCTCCCCGCACTGAGTGTGTCCCGGCACTCAGCTTCCTGCGCGGCCGGCACAGCGCCCCTGCCTGGAGGTTCACCTCTGAAGGCCAATCCCGGCTCCACAGGATTACATTTGGGGTATGACCAGCTCGGTTCACCCTGAGGCCTCAACCCCTGTGGCCCGTTGGCCAGCCTGACTCCCACAGGGCAGAGCCACTCTCCCTTTGAACTAAGGGACAAGCCACAGTACGTCCACATGTGGATGCATTAGAGGCAGGTGTTGCTGCCTCAGCCTCATCAACCTTCCACCGGTGACCTGATGCCCCCACAGGCCTAGATGTGGGATGACACACGCTGGGGTGGCCACGCCAAGGAGCAGAGGCACAGGAAGTGGGGTGAGTCCTGTGGCTCTACGGAGAGCAGTCCAGGTGGCAGGAGGGCACACATGCAGACCCTGAGCGAGGTTAGTGTGCGTGTCCTGGGAGGAACAGGTGCCAGGCCCTGGTGGGCAGTGGGCAGGCAGAAGGGGACCCAGGACAATGTTACAGTTCTCAGATAAACCCCAGGTCCAGACTCCATCCACAGCAGTTATTTTTCAGGTTTCTCACCACTGACTTTGTTTCTCTTTCGAGTTTCTAATTTGTAAAAAGTGTCCTTGATTTCTAGGGCTGCAGCCCCAAGGACAAAAGTGCCAGCTAACCTGCTCCCCCAGTCACAGAAAAGGCCTCACCTGCAGATCATGGGGGTGGCTGTGGTCGGCCAGGTGCTGCATCAGGAGGGCTCGGAGGGGCCTCATGATGTCGTGGAAGGCGGGCAGGGCACCGTACATGAGTACACAGCGCTTCACCAGGGCCAGACACACGGCCAGGCAGGACAGCCTGTGGGGCGACAGCCAGCTTCAGGGTGACAGGCAAGAATCTCAGCAAGAATTAAAGTCAGCACTCAACTCTGAACAACCCTGTGTGGGTTGCAGCTGACGGGTTACACACCCGCCACGCTGCAGAGAGAAACGGCCACGCTGTGGGAATGCGACGACCACTCGAGGAGAGGGGCTCCCGTTCCAGCTTTTAAATCACTTTGAAAATAACGCACACACTCTGGGAAAGCTGTTTTTTCATGGAAACAATGGCCATCAGAACCTGAACAGACGTTTTCTGAAGAGGACACCCAGGCGGCCAACAGGCGCATGGACGGTGCTCAGCATCACTAACCAGGGAAATGCAAACCAAAACCACGAGACACCGCCTCACATCTGTCAGGGCGGCTACTCTCAACAAAAAACAAGACCAAAAAGAAAGACAAGTGCTGGCGAGATGTGGAGAAATGGGAACCCACGTGCGCTGTTGGTGGGAATGCAGGTCGGCGCAGCCACTGTGGAAAGCAGGACGGAGGTTCCTCAAAAGACTAAAAATAGAGCTGCCTGTGGCCCGGCAATGCCACTTCTGGGAATATTCTCCAAAGACCTGAAAGTAGGGACTCAGACATGTGATACACCACTGTTCACAGCAGCAAAAATGTGGAAGCAACTCGCGTGTCCATCCAAAGAGGAATGAAACTACACGTGGTCCATCCACTCAGTGGACTGTTACTCAGCTAAAAGGAAGGGCATCTGACCCCTGCAACACAGTGACAGTGAGGGCACCAGGCTCGGTGAAAAGCCATCATGAAGCACGAACGCTGATTCCACTTACATGAGGCGCACACAGTTGTCAAATCTGAGACAAATTAGGATAAAGGTGCCAGGGGCTGGGGGAGGGGGAAGGAAGTGAGTGTTTAACGGGGACAGAGTGTCCGTTTGGGGAGATGAGAAAGTCCTGGAGACAGTGGCAATGCCACTGAACTGTACACAAAAAAATGGTTAGGATGGTAAATTCTGTTCTGTGTATTTAACCACAATAAAGATTTTTTTCAAGAAAAAAGTTTCAAATAATCTGTAACTTAGGATTCAGAGAACAGCCCTGACCAGTTGGCTGGAGCACCGTCTGTGCACCAGGTCTGGTGGGGTTGGCCTCCGTCTGCCCCGGCTCTCCGTGCACTCGCCCAGCGGAGGGACAGGCTTTGCTCTGCCACGTGGCCGCATCCCCTTCATCAGACACCAAGAGCAGCTGAGTTTGAGTCCTGGTCAGGGACGTTCCTAGGTTGCAGTTCAATCCCCAGTAGGGGCACACATGGGAGGCAACTGATTGATGTTTCTCTCTCTCCCCCTTCCTCTCTCTAAAAATCAAAGCATCTCCTCAAATGAAGATTTAAAAATAATAAAAATTTAAAAACTTAAAGCAGGATGTCCCCACTTATTTATGTCTTTAGTTTTTTCCAGCGGTTTCGTAGCTTTTACTATACAAGTCTCCCACCTGCTTTGTTAATTCCTAAGTAATTCCTTCTTTTTGATGCTCCTGTAAACGGAACTGTTCTTGTAATTTCCTTTTTACATTGTTGATTGTTAAGTACGTAGAAATACAACCGACTTTTGCATGCAGACTTTGTATCCTGTACTTTAAGTTGAATTATTAGTCTAACAGCTCTGCCGTGGAATTTCTAGGGTTTTCTACACATACGGTCACATCACCTGTAAACAGATGACACGGGCACCCTTGAGGTCCGGGACCTGCAGTGCCCCGCTCGCTGCTGGCCTCTCTGAGGTCTGGGCTGGCACCGTGGGCCCGCACATACCTGGTGTGGTTGGCCTCGGTCTCAGTCTGGGCTCTCCGTGCACTCGCCCAGTGGAGGGACAGGCTTCTCTTCTGCCACGTGGCCGCATCCCCTTCATCAGACACCAAGAGCAACTCCGAGTTCCTCCCCAGCGGTCTGAAAGGGTGCACCAGAGTGTAACCTGAATTCCAAGTGGGACAGGGACAGGGAGGGCCTGTGAGCATCACTGGGCTCACAGGGCAGGCTCACACTCCACAAACATGCACGGGTTTTTACCACATGGCTGGGGCCATGTCTGTGCTCTCGCAGGAGGTAGGCCATACAGAGCACCCGTAAGACACAAATGAACTGGGTTGAGAATTAAACAGCGGGTGACAGCAGGGGAGGATGGGGGTCAGTCGGGAGTGTGGGATGGGTGGTGGGCTGCAGAGTTCACCAGGTCAGAGGGGGCCTGCCCCACAGCTGCGGCAGAGACCCCAGGGGTGCAGGGCCCCATCCTATTATCACCCAGGAGAACAATCGAGGCAGAAGGAGCAGCCTGCGGGGAGGGATGGTGGCAAACAGCAGCCGCCCACCCACTGCCTGACCTGTGTCCACTGCATTCTACACTTTGCCCTGACCGCAACCACCTTCTGATGGACTCCCTGGGGCATGACTGCCTGCCCCGTGCCCTGCCACAGGGAGCACACAGTGTGGCAGCCAGGGAGCAGCAGGGCCGTCACTGTGAGGTTGCAGGGAGAGCAAAAGGACAGGCGGCACTGAGTGCGCTGACACAGCTGAGGGACGGGCAAAGGGCACCCACGCTCCGGAGGGAAGCAGCAAGTGCAGGAGGCTCAGGAGGGGGCGTGGTCAGCACCATGGGGCTGCTCAGGGAGCGGAGGGAGCTGAGGTGAGCAGAACAATTCAGATCAACAAATGGTGGACACTCATCACAAATTTCTCTCCTCCAAAATTCAGGAGACGGCGGAAACCATACAGAGCGGTGCTGCCCACCAGAAACACAGCGGGAGCCCCGGGAGCTCATTACACACGCTTGTTGCCACGTAAGAAAGTAAGAAGGTAAACCTTAATTATGTTTTCTTAACTCAAAATACAAAAACATTGTTTCAACACGTAACATAGAAAGCTGAGACAGTGCATGTATTTTTGGGAGTAAGTCACAGCTCTGTGGGTGTACTTGACTCTTAGAGCAGATCTCAGTGGACCTGCCACGTGTGGCTTTGGCTGCCGTGGGCAGACAGCACATCCCGATTTCTTCAGAATGTGGGTGTGTGCGCATCCACACCACGAAGGAAAGGACACTGCGCTGGGAGGGGGGACTTCAGAGGTTGGACTCTGTCCACATTTCCATAGTCTCCAGTTCCTACAATGGGGAGGGATTACTTACAAGTCTTTAGAAAAACCCTCAAGTACAACAAAGTGGAAAGAGCTCCCTCGGACCGGCTCACCTTGGCTGGGCTTGTTTGGAGCTGCTATGTACAGGATCCCGAGGAGGAAATTAATCAGCTCAGGGATGAACCTCTGAGACAGAGACACGTAGTCCAGGAACACACAGCACACAAAAAGGCCCTTCACCACGTCTGAGAGGGACAGGACGGGGCACTGGCAGAGGAACAGAGTTCGGTGACAGGTTGGGACAAGGTCAGACACTGCGTCACGCAGACTGCTTGCTCCCAGGTGAGCTAGGACCCCGAACCCCCTCCCGGCGGTACAGGGCCGTGAGACTCAGGCAGAGCTCTGTAGATCTAAGTCTGCAGTGACTGTGTGATGCCCAGTCCTAGGCCTGATCAAGGAGAAAGGAACTGTTTGGGCTTTTTTAAGCCAAAAGGGGATAGAACCCCACATCAGACTTGATGCTCTCTCCACTAGAAAGGCTGCTCTGAGGTCACACCCTCTGTTACCTCTGGTTGCTAATCAGACCCCCCC